GTTCGGGTACTTAACTTCCCGAATGGAACTTATTTTACAGAGTTTGGATACCTCATCTTTGATGAATGCGTGTTTGACTTCGGACTGGGGCCTCTTCTTCCAGGTATACCTTCCAATCGGGCAGGTGCTCGATCAATATGACTTGCTTTAGCTCCTCAACTGTTGACTTGGTGTTATCGGAATCGTTAGGGGCTATGAAAGACCTGGGGACACCGTAATCGTCCTCCTCGCCCGTCCCCTGCTTTTCTGGTTCGGTCGGGGCCGGTGTCGGTGATTGCTATTTGGTTTCTTCCTTGGTGACCGAACTCGGGTTCTTTGATGTCGAGAGTGCGGATATCGGGACCACCTCATCAACCGCGAACATCTCATTTGCAGCCGGTTGCTCTCCGTAAACTATTTTGATCCCTCCCAGTGTGGGGAATTTCAACGCCTGATATAGTGTCAGGGGTACTGCCCTTATTGTGAATCCAAGGCCTCCCGAACATAGCATTGTATCTCATATCTCCTTCGGTCACTGTTGATTCCCAAAATACACGCAAGTATACGTGGCCGTAAAATAATAAAGTGACTCGAAAGTCGGATGCCGAACCCATAGGGACTTAGAGTAATTGTTCACTAAGCAAACTAAAATCAATTTACTGTCCAAGATAATCAAGAGTGTTATGTTTATACTAATCTACTATTGCGGAAATTAAACAAGTAACGACTAATTTATCAAGAATGCAAATGTGTATGATGAGATTTTAATCAGAGGAGATGAAGATTCTAGGGTTGTGGTTGGTTTATCATTCCTATTAAGTTCAATAATCACACTCGTTAATCCAGATTATGTATGGTTGCTAATTTACCGGATCGTTTATATGAATAGCATATTCCCACAATACTATTCGCTTATCCATAATATATCAATCCTATATTCCTATGGTATTGAGTCTATCATGAACGAATATAATACGGTATTCAACTAAGCAAGACTGTTAGGTATATTCCTATCCTAACCGCGAAATCGTTCCCCGAGCCACGGGTTCAGAAACAAGCTCTCTTTAATTCTACTCTAATCTAAACATGGCTTTCCCAAGCATAACATAGATAGTAGGGTGAAATGGTAGCTACAACAAGTCACAAGTTAAAACTAGAATTAAAGAAACAACCACAAGATGATAATCCGAATTAACGAAGATGCAATTAGTAAACGTTAATAATCATGTCAACCACAACCCTAGAAACTAGATTTCTTAGCCACTCATGTAGTAACAAGTTTCCAAGTAATTTGCATGAACAAATTACAAAGAAAAGATGAAGGAATCAAGAAGTCGATGATTTTCTCCTCCAAAAGTTGTTCCACATGATGTTCGTGCCTCCAATTAATGTCCAACCCCTCAAATATAGGTTTAGAACCCCTTTTATACATGTTGGGGTCGTTTAGAGTTGAAATCCCCAAGTCCCAGTCGAATTAGGACAAAATCTGCCTTTTGGCGTCTCGTTTGGCGCCTGGTGCCAACCTGGACAACAAACTTTTTGGTCTTCTATCATTGGCGTTTTGGTTGGTGCGCCAACCTGGACAGCAAACTTTTTGGTTTTTGTCATTGGCGTTTTGGTTGGTGCCTAGCACCAACCTGGGGACCAAACTTATACTTCCTCCAAATTCTTCCCTTTTTGACATCAATTTGCATGCAAACTTTCCAAATCACTTCCAATTGACTCCTACATATATAAATACCATTATTAAGCTTGAGTTACAAATATTCACACTAAAGTTACGAGATCAAGGCATAATGCAAGAAAAATTACATGCAAAAACATTGAATTTTAGCCAAACATCACCACCCCACACTTAAGCTCTTGCTCGTCCTCGAGCAACCAACAATTCCCTCTATCTTTGAGCACTTTTTATTTACCACATTTGAAGTACACGACACCAATGACCAAGGTTGATAGCAATAATTAAACTGTAGCATATGCATTAAGAACACACTTCCCTTTAACTTTTGCCATTCTTTGAAAACATTCACAACAAAGACAACATACTCATAACAATCCTAGCCTCAATAACTGATTCAATGTCACCATGCACTCATGGATTGAACATCCAACATCCTTAGAGAAGTCTAGTAGTGTTCTTATCCCTCGTGAAATCATGTGCCCTCACAACAAGAACAAGAGAGTAATTTGAATCCATACATTCAAATCAAATGCTCAAATATATGTTAAGGACTCATGTATATCAAAGAAAATCGCTCACTCTCACAAAAAAAGTCACATGCATGCAATTGGTACCATAGACTTGCCCTTAATGTAAATCTCTACTAAGGCTCACTCGATCTAAAATCAAGTAGGAATTTTTTATGGTTGTAATGTGGGCTAAGAGACGGGTAGGATATATTTAGGAATAATGGCTAACTCCCCTAAGCACTTTAACACAACACATAATTAACTTTAAGCGCATATTCTTCAATCCCAACTTCAATTTCACAAACAATATCACCCAAAAGACTATCCCTTTTTCTTTAAGCACTACTTTAATTCATACCCCACTAGCAGGAACACAAAATCAATTTATGTATCTACTTATTTTTCCTTTGCTTTTTTCAGATTTTTTATCTTTCCAATTTTCGCTAGTGGTGTATTTTTTTTACAAAACAAGTATACCTTTCTTCCTTTCATTGGTTCCACTCGAAAGCCACCCAAATTCCCTCCTTACTTCTTTTAGCGCTCATCTCACAATTAAAGTGCTTTAAGAGGTAAAAGGATAAAAACAACGTCAATTAAGAATAAAAAGGGTATAGACTTGTAATGTGGATGCCAAATAAAAGTCTATAGGCTCAAAATGGTTAACTAGGGATATATTTTATTTGTGATAGCAATAAATCTCGAAAAGATCAAAGAAAGCCTAAAATTATTTTTCAAACCGAGCCTCACCTAAACATTCGCTTCGACTCACATACGGGGCAAGTTCTAGACACAATTACAATGACATGGACTACACAAAAATCTCACTTCACACATGGCACATGACTCACTAAGGACGGTCTCATTCCGACTCTCAAACTAATGCAAGTATTCACGGAGCCACAAGATATTAATCATTAAGCACAAAGTGAACATAAGTCAAGAATACGAGACATAGGCGTCACGTGACATGCAATCCAATTTATAATGGCATCATGATCAATTTCAAAATATAGGGAAGATACTACACCTGCCAAAGTCTAAATATATGCTACTATCAAACAAGTCAAGGGCGCCTAAGACTCTCATCTTTCTGCCTTCATTTATTTCCTAAATCCTATACTAAAAAATAATTGCTACCCGGTTCAAACTACATCCCATGGAAAAGAACTGATACATAAAGAAAAATCATGGGGGATTATTACTCTCTAAAGAAAACTAAAAGACATATTTTTGGATTTTGTTTAGGCTTTAATCCCTCAAGAAAACTGTCTAGGATATCCATCGTCGGGAAAAGTCCAATTTTTCTAACTTTTTGTTTTTTGATTTTTTTTTTCTTATTTTAAAAAAAATTATGAGCTACTAAAATACTACACAACTACGAAAACAAAAATAAGAAGCTAACATTTTTCTATCATACTACTACTAATTATTTAGAGGAATTCTCCCACCCCATACTTAAAAGAGTGTAGTGTCCCCAATGCACAAAATAAAGCAAAACAATAACGAGGGCGGACAAGAAACTCCCTGAAAGGCCAAAGGCCGAAGAAATAGCGGCTCACGATGTACTCAGACTTTCCCCAGGCATAGTCCTTTGTATTGTCGCCCCACACTTAGTTCTCACCATCTAGCTCGCTTTTGCACTCTTCAAATGGCTTGCTTCCTATACTTATAATCCTACAAAATTAAAACGGACACTACAAAAATAATATAATAAAAATAAAAATAAAAGAAAGCAGTAAATCTCGGTTTCCTCCCAACAAGCGCCTGATTTAACGTCGCGGTACGATGCAGAATCTCGCCTAATCATTGGCTAGTAACACCTTCGACTTCTGACGATCAAAGTCACCTCCATAATAGTGATTTACTCTTTGTTCATTCACTAAGAACGTTCTCTCGCCACCTACGACGCACAACTCAATTGCACCATGTGGAGTGACTCTTACTACCTCAAACAGGCCCGACTAACTCGATTTGAGCTTCCCCGGAAAGCGTCTCAACCTCGAATTGAACAAGAGAACCAATTGGCCCGGTTCGAACTCGCGATTGTGAATATTCTTATCATGCCAGTGCTTGGTCTTTTCTTTATATAACTTGGCATTCTCATATGCGTGCAAGTGAAACTCATCAAGCTCGTTCAATTGCATCAACCGTTGTTGACCCGCTAATTCTGCATCAAAGTTCAGCTTCTTTATCGCCCAATATGCCTTGTGCTCAAGTTCCACCAGTAAATGGCATGTCTTCCCATAAACCAGCTTGTAATGGGAGGATCCGATTGGAGTTTTGTAGGCGGTCCGGTTTGCCCATAGAGCATCATCAAGCTTTGCAGCCCAATCTTTCCTACTTGCACTAACCGTCTTCTCCAGAATCTGCTTTATCTCTCTATTTGACACTTCAACTTGTCCACTAGTCTGAGGATGGTAGGCAGTCGCAACCTTATGTTTGACCCCGTATTTCGCTAAGACATTGTCCAACAGCTTGTTACAGAAATGGGTGCCCCCATCACTTATCATCACTCTCGGAGTGCCGAACCTTGTGAAGATATGCTTTTTCACAAAGTTAACCACAACCTTGGTATAATTGGTAGGAAGAGAAATGGCCTCTACCCACTTCGACACTTAGTCAACGGCCACCAAAATGTACTTGCACCCATTGGACGCGGGAAACGGGCCCATAAAATCAATTTCCCACACATCGAAGATTTCAACCTCCATAATATCATGCAATGGCATATCATGCCTTTTCGTAATCGTTCCCGTTCTCTGGCATCTATCACACTTTCTCACGAACTCATGGGCATCTTTAAACAACCTAGGCCAATAGAAACCCGATTACAATACATTGGCTGCCGTTTTGTCACCCGCATGATGACCGCCATAAGATGACGCATGACAGTCATGTAAGATAACATTTATTTTAGATTCGGGCATACATCTTCTTATTAACTGATCGGTGCAAGATTTAAACAGAAATGGCTGATCCCATACATATGATCTCACATCTCGCAAGAACGTGTTTTTAGCATGAGGTTCAAGGTCAGGCGGCATTTCTCCACTTGCTAGATAGTTTACAAAATCCGCATACCATGGCACCTCCCTAACAGTAACGTCCAACAATTGCTTATCTAGGAAGGTTTCCTTGATGAAATCTCCCTCAGCTACATGACTCCGAGTTTCTAACCTGGACAAGTGATCGACCACTTGATTCTCTCTTCCTTTACTATCTCGGATCTCCAAGTCAAATCCTGCAAGAGTAAAACCCAACGGATTAGCCTTGATTTAGCATATTTCTTTTCCAACAAATACTTGATGACTGCTTGGTCTGTGTAGACGATGACTTTGGTGCGACCAAATAGGCCCGAAATTTATCGAACGCCCACACTACAACAAGCAACTCCTTTTCTGTCAAAGTATAATTTATTTGAGCATGAGTGAGAGTTTTCCTTGCGTAGTAAATAGAGTGAAATATTTTGCTCCTCCTCTGACCCAATACGGCCCTAATTGCACCATCACTAGCGTCACACATTAGCTCGAATGGCTCATTCCAGTCAGGAGCCACTATGATTGGTGCACTCACTAACTTCTTTTTCAGCTCCTCGAATGCTTTCAGACAAGCATCGTTAAACTTGAATGGCATATCTTTCTCTAACAACCTGCACAAAGGAGAAGAAACTTTTGAGAAATCCTTTATAAATTGGCGATAAAAACCTGCATGTCCCAGAAAACTCCTAAGTCATTTCACTGAAATTGGTAGTGGCAACGTTTCAATTTCTTCCACCTTAGCCTTGTTAATTTCTAGTCCATCTTTGGACACCTTGTGCCCCAGTACTATACCTTCACGTAACCATAAAATGGCACTTTTTCCAATTCAGTACCAGATTAGTCTCCTCGCACCTAGCAAACACCTTAGCAAGATTGGTCAAGCATTCATCAAAAGAAAGACCTCCACAAATCGTTCCACCATATTAGTGAAAATAGCCATCATACACCTTTGAAAAGTCGCAGGTACATTACATAACCCGAAGGGCATTCTCTTAAATGCATAAGTTCCATAAGGGCATGTAAAAGTGGTCTTTTCTTGATCTTCCGGGGTAATAGCAATCTGATTATACCCCGAATAGACGTCAAGAAAATAATAGTATTCATGTCCGGCTAACTTGTTAAGCATTTGATCAATGAAGGGGAGAGGGAAGTGATCTTTTCGTGTAGCATTATTCAACTTCCTATAATCTATGCATATTCACCAACCAGTCACAATCCTAATTGGGATTAATTCATGTTGTTCATTCACTACAACAGTCATACCCCCCTTTTTAGGTACACATTGGACAGGGCTTACCCACTTACTATCGGAGATAGGAAATAGGAAATACTACACCTGCGTCGAGCAAGTTAATCACTTCTTTTCTTACCACCTCTTTCATGATTGGATTTAGGCAGCGTTGATGTTCCATGCTACGCTTGTGTCCCTCCTCCATGAGTATTTTGTGCATGCAGAATGTAGGGCTAGTACCCTTTATATTAGACATTGTCCAACCAATGGCATGCTTGTGCTCCCTCAGCACCCTTAATAGCTTTTCTTCCTGCAAGTTAGACAGATAAGAAGAAACAATCACAGGTAAAGTGTTAGAACTTCTCAAATATGCATAATGAAGATGAGATGGTAAGGGTTTAAGTTCCAGTTTTGGGGCCTCCTTAACTGAGGGTTTAGGGGGCGGGCCGATTGGCCTATCCAGAGGCTCAAATTGGGATCTTTCTCTTATGTATTCGCAAGATGCATCCAGAATTTGCAACATCTCCTCAACCCTTTCTTCAAGTTCCAAGTGATTGAACAACATCAATGCATTTTCTAGTGCATCTTCTTTAAACGCACTTGGCTCCACGACTGGTTCATTTATCTCCACCACAGAAATCATGGCAAGGTCCTCGTAATGATGAGGTAACTGAATGTCTTGATATACATTGAAGACTGCTTCTTGATTGTCCACCCTCATGATCATCTTACCTTCTCAGACTTTGATAATTGCATCTCTAGTGGCTAAGAGAGGTCGTCCCAAGATGATAGGAACTAACTCATCAGTCTCATAGTCCAGGATGATAAAATCTGCAGGGAAAATAAACTTCCCAATTTGCAGCAAGACGTCCTCAATTACCCCATCAGGATAAACATAAGATCTATCAGCTAATTGTAGCATCACTATGGTGGGTCTCGGAGCTCCTAAGCCCAATTGTTTGAACACTGTCAACGACATCAGATTGATACTTGCACCCAAATCACACAAGGCTCTAGCCACATCAATTTCACCAATCCTCGCGGGGATGGTAAAACTACCCGGATCCTTGGAAGCTTATGTTGAATCCTGGAAGTGCACTCCTCAGTAAGTGCGACGATCTCAAACTCAGTTAACCTCCTTTTATTTGCCACTATATCCTTAATATATTTTGCATATTTTGGGACATCGCGGAGCATGTCCACCAAAGGGATGTTCAAGTGTATTTGCTTTAGCATATCTAGAAATTTGTGAAACATGCGGTCATCATTCTTCTTTCTCAATCTTTGAGGAAAAGGGGGTGGCACCCTCTCTGATATATGCTCAGACTCTGTTTTATTTTTCTCATCTACCTCTATAGGTTTTGGCACTCATTCTTCTTCGAGCCTAGACAACTCCTTTCTCTTCTTAGGCACTTCTACCAACTCTCTCCCATTTCTTAACGTTACTGCATTGACTTGGGGATTTTTCTCTGTATCACTTAGGAGAGCTCCAGCGGGTCTAGTGTTTTGATTGTTAACCATTTGCCCAAACTGCCTCTCTAGATTTCTGAACTCTGTGTGCAACTGTTGATTCTCAGCCATCACTCTCTGATTGTTTATCAAGAGATTTTTCATCGTGTTAGTCAAACTCTCCTTTGCTTGTTGTGAGGGTTTAGGTGGCTGATTGTAATTAACTTGAATCCTACTATTCTAATTTTCACCCCAAGAGAAGTTAGGATGATTCCTGCAGTTCGGATTGTATGTGTTACCATATTGAGAATTTTGATTCATTGGCCCTCTAACTTGTTGCCCCACATAGTAGATGGACTAAGGATTCACTGGGTATATGTCACTTGTGTCGCTTTCACCATATAATTCGCAGCAAGTAGACATCTATTGCACATGTTGCATCTGTTGCGCTTGGTGCATTGTCATTTTATTCATCTGATTTTCTAATCTCGCTATATCTGCCCTCATAGATGAGAAATCATCAAGCTCAATTACACATGTTGCCTTCTGTTTAAGTGCTCTTCGTGGTTCCCCATCTCCTTGACAATTATTATCATTAGCAGTGAAATTATTTAGCACGATCTGGATTTCACTATACGGTCTTGCCATGCAACTACCCCTACATGTTGAGTCAAGATTCATCTTTGATGTATCGTCCAACCCATCAACGAAAGTTTGACCCAACATCTCATCAGTTTGACAATGATGTGGGCAGTCTCTGAGTAGCTTCTTGTATCTTTCCCAAGCTTGACGAAAATTCTCGCCATCTCCTTGTTGAAACCTAAGAATCTGACTCCTCGGCGACTTTGTCTTCTTAGTAGGAAAAATCTTGATTAAGAATTTTTGTGCTAGATCATCCCAAGTATGAATCGAGTTTGCGGGCTCTTTCTTCAACAATTCTTTGACTTCCCCCAACAGTGAAAAGGGAAACAGTATCAGTCTGACGTAGTCTTTGGAAATATTCGGATAATTATAAGTATCCGTAATTTCCAGAAAGTTCTGAATATGCTATTGTGGATATTCACGAGATAGACCCACATACTGCCCTGTGGACTAAATCAGTTGTACCATGTACTGTTTGAGCTCAAAGTGACCCGTTATATCAGGCTTCACTATAGCTTGAGTCATATTCGCAAGATTAGGCCTTGCAGCCTGTATCACTGGTCGATTTTCATTACCTGCCATCTCTAGTAGTTGAGGTTGAACTACGATGTCCAACTATCTTTCTATTCTAGTTCTAGCTTCGACTTTCCTCCTTACCCTGTAAAGTGTTCGTTCTATTTCAGGATCAAGACTACATTAACACAAATAAGCAAACTAAAAATTAAAACTTGAACAAATAAAGAATAAAAGCTTGACATAGATAAACAATCAATAACTAAGTCCCCGGTAACGGCGCCAAAAACTTGTTGGTTCCCCAAGTACACGCAAGTATACGTGGCCTTCAAGTAATAAGTGACTCGAAAGTCAGATGTCGGACCCACAGAGACTTAGAGTAATTGTTAACTAAGCAAACTAAAATCAATTTACTGTCCAAGATAATCAAGAGTGTTATTTTTCTACTAATCTACTATTGCGAAAATTAAACAAGTAACGACTAATTTATCAAGAATGCAAATGTGTATGATGAGATTTTAATCAGAGGAGATGAAGATTCCAGGGTTTTGGTTGGTTTATCAATCCTTTTAAGTTCAATAATCACACTCGTTAATCCAGGTTATCTATGGTTGCTAATTGACCGGATCGTTTATATGAATATCATGTTCCCACAATACTATTCGCCTATCCACAATATATCAATCCTATATTCCTATGGTATTGAGTCTATCATGAACGAATATAATACGGTATTCAACTAAGCAAGACTGTTAGGTATATTCCTATCCTAACCGCGAAATCGTTCCCCGAGCCACGGGTTCAGAAACAAGCTCTCTTTAATTCTACTCTAATCTAAACATGGCTTTCCCAAGCATAGCATAGATAGTAGGGTGAAATGGTAGCTACAACAAGTCACAAGTTAAAACTAGAATTAAAGAAACAACCATAAGATGATAATCCGAATTAACGAAGATGCAATTAGTAAACGTTAATAATCATGTCAACCACAACCCTAGAAACTAGATTGCTTTGCCACTCATGTAGTAACAAGTTTCCAAGTATTTTGCATAAACAAATTACAAAGAAAAGATGAAGGAATGAAGAACTCAATGATTTTCTCCTCCAAATATTGTTCCACGTGATGTTCGTGCCTCCAAATAATGTCCAACCCCTCAAATATAGGTTTAGAACCCCTTTTATACATGTTGAGGACGTTTAGGGTTGAAATCCCCAAGTCCCAGCCGAATTAGGACAAAATTCGCCCTTTGTCGTCTTGCTTGGCGCCTAGCGCCAACCTCGATAGCAAACTTTTTGGTCTTCTATCATTGGCGTTTTGGTTGGTGCGTAGTGCCAACCTGGACAGCAAACTTTTTGGTTTCTGTCATTGGCGTTTTGGTTGGTGCCTAGCACCAACCTGGGCATCAAACTTATACTTCCTCTAAATTCTTCCCTTTTTGACGTCAATTTGCATGCAAACTTTCCAAATCACTTCCAATTGACTCCTACACATATAAATACCATTATTAAACTTGAGTCACAAATATTCACACTAAAGTTACGAGATCAAGGCATAATGCAAGGCAAATTATATGCAAAAATATGGAATTTTAGCCATACATCAATCACGTAGAACTTTGTTTCCTGAACGGTTCCGGCAAGGTTATCTCCCCTTTAGTGGTCTCACATGCCATGTTAAACCCGTTTAAAACTCGGATTGCAAGCACAATTTGGTCTTGTAGACCCAGTTGTTCCACGACTCTCGATCTGATGAAATTGGCCGAGCTATCTGGATCAATTAACACACGCTTAACTCGAGATTTATTTATGAGTACATATATTACCAGTCCATCATTGTGTGGTTGCACGATGCCTTCAGCATCTTCATCGTTGAAAGATACGGTTCCCTCCGGTATATAATCTCGAGTCCGTTTTTCTCTTGTAATGGACACTTTAGTGGGCTTTAACATCGGCCCCTGGGGGATGTCAACCCCACCAATGATTATGTTGATGACGTGCTGAGGTTCCTCTTGCTCGATCTGCTTGTTGGAGTCTCTGTTCCTGAAGTGATTTTTGGCTCGATCACTCAAAAATTCTCGGAGGTGTCCGTTATTGAATAACCGGGCTACTTCATCTCTCAGTTGTCGGCAGTCTTCGGTTCTGTGGCCGTGCGTGCCATGATATTTACACATTAGGTTGGGGTCCCTTTGAGAATGATGGGATTGCAATGGTCGAGGCCACTTAGTATCTTTGATGCATCCGATGACTGATACGATGCCGACAACATCTACGTTGAAGTTGTACTCCAATAACCTTGGTGCTTCCTTAGGCCCGATGGGTCTGTCAAAACCGTTTTTGCTCATGAGTCCCCGGTGATTATGACCTCAATCGCTTCTTCTTTCACTTCTCACAGTGTTGCGTCCGGACCCATTACCCATTCGATCTTCATTGCATGGTTGATACTGGTCTCTGTTCGATCTCGGTTCATGATCGATGGCCCTTTTGGATCTGTCGCTTGCCCTGACGGGATAAATGGACCCCGAAGGAGCCCTGAGCTGATCGTCTTCGATCCTGATTTTTTATTGGTACCTGTTATGGATGTCGGCCCCAAGTTACCGCCAGGTATTCTATCAAATTTTGCCTCAACTATTGTGAAGCCAATGAGCTTTGGGGATTGAGTCCTTGGGTGAAGGCCTGAACGGCCCAATCATCTACAACCGGAGGCATATCCATCTGTTCCATTTAAAACCTCAATACAAATTTCCTAACCATTTTGTTATCTCTTTGCTTTACCTTGAAAAGGTTTGACTTCCTGGTCTCGACCTTGATGGCCCCGACGTGCGCTTTTACAAAGGCATCTGCAAGCATAGCAAATGAGTTAATAGAATTAGGGGGTAAGTTGTGATACCATATCATTGCTTCTTTTAGACAAGGTCTCTCCGAACCTTTTCAGCAGAACTGACTCAATTTCGTCATCTTCCAAGTCGTTCCCTTTGATGGCGCATGTGTAGGAGGTCACATGTTCGTTTGGATCAGTTGTCTCGTTATACTTCGGAATTTCGGGCATACATAACTTCTTTGGGATAAGCTTCAGAGCTACGCTCGGAGGGAAAGGATTTTGGACAAATTTCTTGGAAT